TATGAACTTATTCTTGAACAATATTAATTACAAATATATAATAACATAATACAGATAGATGATTAGACAATTCATAGTACCTGAAATGAACTATCACCTGTTACAGATTGATTCCAATTTTTGGGTATTATTACAAATGTATCAAACACGTTTAAACTAAATAGTAAATAGGTAGGCATTTATTTTGGTAACCTAACCAAACTAATCAATAGATAATAATTTACTATAGCAATACAAAGTGTATACAAATTTTTTTAGTTAAATCATCACAACATTATTTTCAAAACAAATTTTTACAAAAATCTTACAGCACTGCTTACTTTTTGATTTTTTGTTCTGTTTTATTTGATTACATTTTAAGTTTTTTTATGTCAGTACTATTAAAGGCATTATATTGCTTTTATAAAATTTCTTTATGGGGTTATAAATGAAAAGTATCAAATAACACTGCAAATGTTAATACATTAACTATACACTAAAACCAAATAACACTGCCACAGGTTCTTAGGGCCAGGGATTTCAATCTCCCAAAACGTCAATAATGAACAGTGGTCGATCCACTTAATGGGCAGTAGGGTTATATTATTTTTATTTTAGAAGGAAATGGATAACAGAATTATACAAGCTTTCTTTTTCTACCAACTATTAATTACCGATTTTTATCGCTTTGTATATCAAGTATATAATATATATATAAGTAAATGTTTGCTATATATTTTATGGTGTTTAAGTTTTTATTTACGTCTATCGTAATAACAATATATTATATTCATGTTTGAAAGAAAAAAGGTATACCTATACCAAGAAATCATCTACCTATTAATACTGTATATAAATCCAAAGCATTTTTAGGTCAAACGAAACAATTATAATGACCTTTAAGAGTGGCCAGCTGTCTATACTTATTTTATGTATCACATTATCATGTATACTGCAGTATATATATAAAGGTATGTAGAGAATTTTAAATAACGAAATGTATATATTATGAATTATGAACTCGATACTGCAGCTATCGTTATTTTATACATAATACCTTCATAAAAAAAAGCTAAAACTATTTTCCTCCAAACACACACATAGTTTGGGATGAACAAAATTATTTTTTAAATGTTTTATAATTGTATTTAATCTTAGATATGTTAATTAATAGTTAAGCATCATAAATTAATATTTCTACATTATAATGTATACACATTATTTTTCGACCATGTACTGTGAAACATTTATAATATTATAATAATTACTATTTACAGCAAAATAATAATAAGTAATAACAATATACTTACTACTGTCTACTACTAGAACTCTAAGTAAAATAACAATCTATACACACACACACAGTCAGTCATACCTATATAATAATCGTATAATATTATTCGCGTGTGCGTGTCGTCGTCGGTAATGTGAAATGTGCAGACATGACGTGTCGATATAATTGGTTGTGTGTATATGAGCATTAAGCACTATACGTATATAGTGCGTTGAAAATTGAAATGTCGATGGTCAGATTGTCATGAGTAAAGGATTATATGAAAAAATTATATCGACGTGTTAATCGCCATACACGATTACAAATTTCAAAATGAAATATTTAAAAAAAAATCTGAGGCCGCACGCGTCACACACAAATCCTTCGTGGCAAAATACACTATCGTGGGCCATAATCATTGTGATATTATAATAATTTCGGTATAGTCTTGTCAGCCTGCCAAATCTATTTCTCCGCATAAAATACCGCGACCAAGTGGTACGGAATCGTCATAATATATTACATTATTATGAATCTCTGTTCGTTTGTATACGCGTAGAGTAGGTAGTGTTATCGACCGAAAAAATGCAATTAAAAAAATCACCTAATGACATTATATTATGATGTAATATTATTATTTACTTACGATTTACCTACGATAAATTGCACAACTCATAAACCTATGATGGTTATATACGCTCGATTTACGTTAAATATCGACCGTAATTTTATTACTGTTGTTCAAAATGCCCAGCACTATAATATTATTGTTACGAATTATTATATACCCATAATGTCTAACATTCGAATAATTTAAGTATATTTTTTTTTTTTACTGACAATATCAATTTTTAATTTCGTACAAAAGAATTTGTTACCTACCTACCATATTATTGTTTAAATAATTAATTTAAATAAATTTTTTTTAAATCGATGTATCGCATTTACATTTTATACCACTTTTGCTCATACATAATATATGACAGAAGTATATTATGTATCTACTGCCCAATTCGCACAGTACTTTTAAAATCATTTTATAATAGCGTATCGAAGTGAAATGATTTGTCTGTTGTCAAACTGATTTATCGTAATAGAAATAATATAGTGCACACAATTCTGCAGCGTGATGGGTGTCCAATTCGTAATACTTTCTACTTCAATAATTTATTGTGAGTACAAATTCTAAAACTCAAAAATTGGTTTTCTAGCCAATTAAGTTCTGTTTAAAATTTAACCACTGAGGTCGGTACCTCGTAAATCGTGCATCTTAATAGGACGTACTAATACTAATTATACAGAGTGTGTTGAGTTGTTTCATACAAACAAAATGGTCTCATGTCAGTGAATGGAAACAAAATATGAAAAGCGATTTCGAGATTTGCAGGGGCATATTTATACTGTATTTTATTCTCAATTTTTACACATATATTTAAGAATATATCATTTTTAGTTTTTAATTCCTTTATAATAAGTCCTCACGTTTTAGTTTACTCAAAAATAAGTTTCCTGACACTTCAAGTTTCGTGGTTGTAACTCTTAAGACCCCGGAGTCGCAAAATACTTAATACGATTTCGATATCACTCTCTGATCTGAGATCATTCTATTGAAGTTATTATGGAACAACCTGAAGCACCCTGTATAAACAAAAATATTATTTTAATCTGTTAACTTGATTAATGAATACTAATCAATAATAATTACAGTAATTTCTTAAATGTATATGATTATAAATTTACATAATATTATAGGTACAATTATTCAAAACAAAAACAAAATAGGTACTCGTAGTTTGGTTTGTTTAGTTAACATGTTTGAAGCTTATACAGTATAAAGTAAATATAAACAAACCAATTCATGAATTTAAATTAGGTGTCTACAATTGAAGAGTTTTGTATTTTGTCATTGAATGTTGAATTATTGTAGTTTTCAAAATTTAAATACCTACATAATGATTGTGTTTCACGAATTTATAATTTAATGCACATACTATTTGTAATTCATTCACTGCTATTTGTAATTCATTCATTGAAATAAACAAAGATCAGATGTATTTCAGCTTCTAAATCAATGCGATCATGAGATTCAAACCAAAACGCGACGAAACGATGTTAGTATAAGTAATATGATATAATAACTGCACTCTGACCTTAGGCTTCAAATCGTCAATAATAAGTCAGACTTTCGTAATTATATTTTCTATTGACTATGTACAATAGTAGAGACTAGAGGTAAGTCGTAGTTAGTCAGTCGTGTGTACCTATATATATTATGGGTAAAAACAAAAACCAGCGATCTGGTCCAAATAGATTTATGTAAAATATGCACAATACGTAATACAACATATAAACATCGAGAGGGAGCAAACATCCCTCGGCAACGCGAGGCCAACGACATTTTATAGTACTTTACCGACGAAAATCATTCCCTCGCTCATCACACCCCCAATCAGTGGCGTGTATCACAAACAAAATAGGTGTTGCTCAAATAACTTTAGGTGACCTACCCCTCATTATACTGTTATACCGTCCTATATAATATCCTATTTTTCTTCTATCAATCTAACCCACACATATTTAAGGTGTTGCCTGAGCAACACTTGGACCCAATGTAACACACGCCACTGCCCCTAATTGTAGTGCGGAAATATAAAATGCACAAAGCAAATAGGTTTAGCTATTATAGATTGCTAAGATTTGTTTTATTCAATTTAATAATTATTTTACCTACCTTTATATTATAATGCAATGTCAAATGATTATAAAAAAATAAAAAAAATAAAAAAAAATATCTCAAAAAGTATCAAAATATAATAATACAATTTCATCATTTAAAGTCAATGCTAATATTATAACCACTACGTTTGTGGCAATGATTTTGAATATCACATAATTTATATAGGTAATATTATACATTTTTTATTTTTATTGGTTTGGATCAATTCAAAAGAAAACATCGTTCATAATAATTATTATGGCACACACACTTTATCGATGATTATATTTTATAGATACGCCGTGATATTAATATTACGCTTTTTTTTTTAAATAAATTGTAAATTTGAAACACAGGTAGAAACGACAATATTATAGACATAATATAGTGAATATTTCATAATATTATCCTACACATTATATACGCAGTATCACTAAGAATATTATATAATATCATGATTAAATGATTATCATTGTATGGTCGTACACAATGACAAATGCAGTTATGCGTGTAATTAACTTCAGATAGTTATTCAAATGCATCAAAGTATCAATACTGCAGTTTAAGTAGATGGGGGTACCTATAAAGCAATAACTATGTACACCCAAGGGCATCCAGAGGTAATCATTTCAAAGGCACTACTAAATAAATTTGAATAATTTAAACCATAACTTCCTACCAAAGTTGCCGAACTTCTTCGACAATGACAAAATACGTAAGTAAACGATATTTAAATGTATTGAATTTTTGAGCCTTAAGACAAGAATATCCTTATATCACCGAGTCCCCGCAAACCCCCCCCCCCCCCGAAAAAAAAAATTTAGTAAAATAATAATATTTGTACGATGGAGCCCTTTTTTTATCGTTTGACGAAATGACTCATTGACGGATTTTTCACATGTTGGGCCCATTTTTAAAATTTCCCAATAAGCCAAAAAATGGCCTATCTGCCCTCGGCTCTATGGATTACAGGCACTATAGACACGAGTGGAAGATAAATTAACAATAATCAATAACTGCAATGCAACTTACGAAATATAACGCCCTCCGTTGTCACGGTCCGTTTTTCTGATAGTGGCGGTCGGTTACGATCGTCGAGAATTTTGTCTGGTGCTATATACTACGCATACATCTACGAGCAAGTGATGTAGATAATAATATTGTATTATTATAATACCGAAAATTCGGCGTGTTGCAGACTTCAGTCTTGTGTGGGTCTCGAACGACGGGCAAACAAAAACAATATCGTCTTAAAATCATACGAAAAAAATAAACACGTGATCGAAACGATTATGCTCGCCCTCGGAACGTATTATTATTATTATTATTATTATTATTTCAATAATATGTTTTATCGTCGTGACAAAAAATAATAATATTAATATTAAAAGCTCACTACGCGTATAAACGGCGGTGGCGGCGGCGGCGAAAAACAAACAGTATTAAATATTGTATACAATAATGATACAATAACAATAATAAAAATGATAATAATTATATTATATAAAAATATAATACGCGCGAGGACGGGCGACGCGTTGACGGCCGTGTTCTCGGACCGACGGCGGTCAAACGTTTAAAAAACGAAAAACCTCCACGCGCCGCCACTGCCGCCGAGCGCGCCGCCGATGCACGCTACAGGAAACGTCGGGCGGCGCGGCGGCGGCTCGTTCTGGCGGGGAAAAGAGTAAAAAAAAAAACGGTTCACGGGCGGCGGAAGTTTTGCAGCGATTGGTCTCGTACATAATCATTCGCTGCATGTACCCATATACCTAGGTTATGTTAACTGCGGTTCTTATGATATTGATAAGTCTTTATGGGCTTATTTTTTTTTCATTCTGTCATCGGAACGATATAATCGTAGTCCGCTGCTCGCATATATATATATATATCCGTATAATAATATAACCATACCTGGCGTTGACGTCGTCGAACGGGTTTCCACCACCACGCTGTTGGGATTTTCGCAGACGGAAAATACACAGTATCCTGGCAGCAGACCGTTCTCCCGGATTGATCATTGTTCTTTAGAAAAAAAAATAATATATAATATATTTCACAAGCTGCTTCACACATCCTGCAAACAATACTAGACTAATACTGAGTGATAACAGCGTGGCGTATACCTGTACATTTTTGCTCAACAGCGACGCCATAGAATTTGTCGAAATTCCTTCACTATTTTATGGGTTTATAAAAGGAATTTCGGGAAAATTCAAGTTGTTGGGTTACAATGCTCGATATTTTGAAAATTTACTTGAAAATCTGAAATATTGTTATCGCAGTCGTTTAGTTACTCCGGAGATCATAAAATATTCGAAACATATAATTATTGCGTTTCTATTTAAGTGATAAAAAAAAGTCTATTTTGAAAATAATGTAATTACGCTTGGTTATGCCGTGACAGACACCATAAATAAAGGAGTAAAATAAATAATTAAAAAATATTATACTCGTAGTAAATAATTATTATATTATAATAATATGGTATAATTAATATACACGAAACGGGTGCACTATGTCAACACGTAATTGACTGTACCACGAATTCGGTGGTAATATATTCGGCGACACATAAATGACTTAGATATTTCAGAAGGACAATGTAACGGTATCAGATTGATTATAATTATAAATAAGTTGTATTGTTTAGTTTGTTTAGTTGAGTTGTAATAGTTTATAATGCAATAATATTATATTAAAGCTAATAAAGTAAATGAAGAAAATTTCTAAAAATAGGTGAACATCCCGAAAATCGGTTAAGACCCTGACAAAGGTAACCTTGAAAGACATCAATTTCCGTTAGACTAGCATTTTCTATACGACAGCTCACAAACTTCAGGGTCAAATATTTGAGTATGTTGGTGTAGACTTATGACGACTAGTTTTTATGCACCGAATGAATCGTTGCGTACGTCGGTTTTTCGCAAACAAAATGATAAAGTCGTACTAAAGTGATTTCAGTATTTTCCCACCGGAAAATCCTCAGTTAGGAAAAAAACTTTAAACAAAATACAAACTATTATAATTATAATGAACAAAATAATCAGCAACAAATAGATTTCGATGATGAAACTATCTTTTTTTGAACACTCCAGACCACTTGAATGATTTCAACCTGATTTAAATTGGTCTGAAATTCCAGGTATCATTAAAACGAACGCAAATTTAATATTTTTATAAAACGAACTTATTTTATAAGAAAAATTAAGAAAAAGTTAAATAGATATGCAAATTTTGAAAAATTTAACCCAAACCGCACCCAGTCAATGGTCACATGGTTACATCGTTATTTATTAATTATTACAAACAAATATTACGTTTCACGTTCTACACATATGTATATTAATATATATATACCTACATAATATATAAATATATTTTAATTATAGATATGGATGATGGAGACAATTTTAATTTCGATATAGCTCATATTTCATGAGCCGACACTCAATACATTTATTTATTATTAACTCTTATAATTAATCCATTAACAATTGTTTGTATCTTGTCATAGTAACATACGTAGATATACGTCATAAAATTGTAATTACGTCTTTATGTTATTCAATATTTAATTTTACAGTATAAATATACTATACAATTCATGGTGAAAATATATAAGCCTCAATTATATTGTACTCGTCACAATCGTCACCACGAAGATATACTTGGATTGAGTATATTGGGGGATCACACAAAAGTATTCTTCTCCCTATTATCTGTACCAACCTAAATTCTAGTATACTATAATATAGTGATTTATCTTATTAACGAATTTACGAGCATTTCATAAACGATAAGTACAAAAGGAAACGGCTCTAAAAGTTTTGATATAGTTTTATGGCTAAGTCTAATTGAAATAATATATTAAAATAATTTGCTGAATAATTGAACTTGGCTTGGCGACTTCAAATTGTCTGATCCTCTATATAATACGCGCTATGTGATAATTCAAATACACGAGATTCATTCAGTCCTGCAAATAAACATATTTGCGATACGATTTCGCATCCCATATAATATAAACGGTAGGGTAGTATAGACCCATTAAAATATAACATGATATTTGAGCATATTGTATGTCGTTAATAGGTGTGACAAAAATAGATAAGTACTATCACAGTTGTAATAGTTTTTTTCAGTGTGCGTATCTCCTTCACCCCCAACCCATTTCGTAGTTCTCCACACTTCTGATTAGTTGATTTGTGTCCATGTTATATAATGTACAGTTTACGTATATGATTGACATTTAACAGCCATTAAGAATAGTGGAGAACTATTACGATATAGCCATATAGGTGAAGCTGAAAGATCAGGGATCAAAATACTGTTATGGTTATACCTATTTTGTCATGGAACAAACCATTTCAAAGGGAGTATAGGGACATATTTAGAACGTGATGTGGATACAAAAACGATTGTCGTCAGATTATACTTATGTTTACGACATCAATCTCTATAAACATTTACAAAATACTTGTGAGACATCGAGCCTTATAATGTGACCTTCAACAGTGATTTGTGTATATAATCAAAGGCCAATGTACCACACGAAGGCGCATGCCGCCAAAAGCGAGACCAAAAGCGAGCAAAAAAAAAAAAAAACTAAAATGTTATCTTTTGAATTTTTTGCGTGACAAAACTTTTACTGGCCGTAAGCCAATCAAATACAAATAAAATTATAAAACTAAAAACGAAGAACTCAAAAATGAAACTATACTTACATAAAATATTCATATTTGCCGATCGTATATCGCGTTCGGATAATATGGGTATATAATGTAAAAGGAAGGTTAAAATATGGATAGGTACCCAACCCATTTAATCACTGTAATTATTGTATGTTTCCAATTATTTAGCTTAAAAAAATTAATTCTGGGTATTTACTATATGATACGTATAAAACGTCGAAAATATATTGAAAGAAGTCACATCAAATATACATTTGTACCACACGTCAACGACCTGACAGCCAGAACTTTTTGCGTGTATGTGTTTATACTCACATTAACCTATCAAACTATCTACAGTCAAAATAACAACCACAGACTCCTTCGCATCGTTAGTCTTATTTATCTTTCCAATTTCTAATTTGAAGTGCTCAAAATGAAGATATATGCAATAGATGAACACGAATGATACACTTCTGATGATAAGTTCGTGGTCAGCGAAGCGAAATCATACCAATTATATAGGTTGTAAAAGGAGAAAAATAAGAGAACACAAATGAGATTTCCGTTACCAAAAAAGATCGGTTGAGGGTTATACATAGAGCAATCAAATAAAATAACAATAGTAATTATTTAAAATAATTGAAAGTCAATTCTAACAAATATATAAGTAGAAAAAATCGTTTCCGAGTCGATACATTTAAGAAATATTAAATGTTTATACAATAAAATTAATATTTTCCTATCATGAATATTATGTAGGATAGTATACGTTCTATATACCTAGTTGAATAGTCGACGAAATTAATTTGGTTAACCGGAAGTGGTTGATGGTGGACATTTTGAGTCTGTAGTTATTTTTGTCATTCACGTGGAAAAGGACACAGCGTGGACGAATGTTCCACAAAACGCAGTAGAGGAAACAATAAGGTGGATCGAGAACTTTTGATTCTAAAAAGGTTTACAAGGTCTTGTAAGTCTACTAGAATTCCAGACTAATACACCACGTCACCACTGTATACTTGTAAAATGTATCATAAATCAAACAACGAATAAATTATGAGATAAATGGTTGTTGTTTATTCTATAATTTGAACATAAATCATAAACTTTATTTCAACGTTTCATATTATACATTTTGCATATATGTAGGTAGTATACCTAAGAAATTAGAATAAATATAATAAGTACATAATATTGTTGTATTAATAAGACAGAAAATGTAACATTTATTTGAACTGAATAGAACTGAATAATTAAACATTATGTTGTTTCAAAATACAGATTGTAATATTAGGTATATTAAGTAACATTATTTTTTTTCGACAAAAATTTTTAATAGGATAATTAAAATATATGTTTATGTAACAATAATTTAACTTGATTATTTGTACTGACCACAATGAAAATATTTTTAAAAAAACCTTGATATTACACAGTCAAATTTTAAGTAAAATGAATCTTTGATGTCAAGACCTTGTACGTTGAATTCAGAAGTCATTATTAACTTTCAAGTAATAATCAGACGAATAAAATCAAGTTCCAATATATTTAACATATTATATAACTGCTCATTAGTGAATCACTACATTAATAAAAATGCTCGAACGAGTTCTGTAATGCTCAAAAGTGATGTGTAATACTGTTGTGTTTGATAGCTACAAGTATATATTTATTAGGTACAATATAACTATATAATATTACTTATTATTTTATTA